TTTGTTATTATTTTTTATGATGTCTTTGTCTGGCAGAGAATGAATGAATGAGTGATAAATGAATGATGGGACAGTCCCCCTCCCACCAACTGCAAACCACACAAGGGCAGGGACCACCCTTAGTTTGGCTCATCTCATGTCCCCAGGGCCTGGCATAGTGACAGACACCTAACACATGCTCATAAACATTCACTGATGACAGAATGAAGAGAGTGACAAAAGGTCTAGCACTGGGAGTGTGCGATGGAGAGTCATTTGGCTCCAGGTTTCAATGTTGACAATTCCAATTTAGTTCAAATAATGTCACTCACCAGGGCCAGCTCAGCCACGGCTTCACAAGGAAAGGGTGACTTGCCCTCAGTCACCAGCACCAAGAAGCACTGACTTCCCAGAAACACAAGGCTTTCCAGGTGGGGAATAGGAATGTGAGACCCAGGCCACTGCCTGGGAGGGCAGCTGTGTCTGCTACCCCAGCCCCAGGCCTGCACACAGACAGACGCTCTCTGACTTTCTGAAAGGTGGGTTTGGAGACAGGACCAGGGCTGCTTCTTGGTGTCAACTCATCTGGATGCAGGCTTCCCCAGTCTCTCAGTGGCCCCGGCTGCATTTTTGAATTTCTAACCACCCAGGAACAAGTCCAGCAGGTGCAGTCTAGAGCACACATCACAAATGACAGGTAGTTCCATACAGGGTAAAAGTCACAACTTTTTTCCACCACCAATTTGTAAATCTCATCTTCTGCCACAGTGATTTACTGACCGCAGAGTCACACATTCTTCAGCTGATAAGAAATGAGATGTGTCTCCTGTGTCTTCTGCCACCTGAGCTAATGCAGCTCTGTCCCCAGGTTGTTTGAGCCCATGGGTTTCCTCTGCCATTGGGCAGCCTTTTCCCAGGAGGGAAGGAACACAGCTGCTCTGGAGTCAGATGAGCTCTGGCTGTGACTCCAAAGACAGCACCAAGGAGCCTACTGTCACCACATTGTCACCATGCAGGCTCCCTACCTCCAGCAAATTTCCTGAGGCTCCAGGACATTGGCACCACATATACATCCAGACACCATCCTTGATTTTTTTAATTTATTCACTTATTTATTTTACTTTTTGCTGTCCCATGGCAGAGCTGCACTGATCTCCTTGGGCCAGCACTCTATAAATCTTCTGTTTATAACTCGTTACCTTCTGATTAGCTGAAAGGCAGATCACTTGTTTCACACAGTGTTTACTGACTCTAATTGCCATGGTTGCTCATTAAAAAACTGCCATAATCCCTGTCCACTTTCCTGCCCACAGTTCCCCCCACCCCCCATCTTTCCAATGTGGCTGCTACACACAGGTAAATCAGGGAGATGAGGTTTTCTGAGCTGGAAGCAGCAGGTGCAGCTAAGACATAGATCTCAGACTTCAAGCCAGGCAGCAGGCAGGGACCACACCTTCTCCACCAGCCCCCACAAGCACTCCAACTCCTACTGCAGCTTTCTCCGACCAGACTCCTCAGCAAAGAACGAGAAAAGCTCTAAGTGGCCATCCTCTCTTCGATCAGCAAAACCACAAAAAGCCTGGGAGGCTGCGGCTGGCACAAACTCAGAGTGAAGAGCAGAGAAGCAGGCTGCATGATGTTTCCAATCAGGAAAATCTGACTTTCCTCCTTTTAAGTGAATTGAATGCCTTCAAATTCTGAGATGAGACCGCCAGGCACACATTCCCCAAACCATACAGCAAAAAAGTAGGTACCGAACTTTCACAGACTTATTAGCCTACAGAAATAGAGATTTGAATAAATGTTTTAAAAATGAAATTCCCTTGATACTCTGTAATCAGTAAATGTTCATTACGGAAACACAGCAAATATGCATGAAATTTCCCAAGTGATATTCTAGCTACAAGATTAAAAAGGCATCTCAAACAGCAGGCTGAGTTACAAAGCATCCTCCTCCAGTCACAGTCCAGGAACGCTTTACCAAGTCCAGGAGGTCAGACGAGTGTGCTCTCCTCTTCCAGCCGGAGCCAGGGAAAATCAGAAAATGTTCATTTTGCCCATGCAGGCAATTTAGAAATGAGCCCCTGCACCGTCTGATAGATGCCTCTCTATAAATAATTAATCCTTGACCTTGCTTTAAGAAAGCCTTGACTTCTTTTAATTTGGGGTCTTTTAAAAAATCAATACCTGGGGAACATAATTCACTCTGGCAGAGTCTGATTCCAGGTAAATAAATAAATAAGTTGTGCCATTCATGTGTCACAGGGCAACTCAGCAAGCAAGGGGACGGGGTCAGACTTTGAGGTTTTCTGTGTTTCAAGCTGTTGGATTATTGACTAATCTATTGAGGCTCTGTCTCTTCAGGGTCTGAATTTTATCCTTCTTCTGGGTCACTTCACTGAGGCAAGTCCCATGAACGCTCCTGAATATGCTTCCGCTCCCCCCAGGGGTCTCCATCCTGTCCCATATGGTGGGATGGATGTCTTGATTAAAAGAGGATCTCATACCTGGACTAGTGTCATTTCTTCCTGAGGCCTGTCTGCCTTGCCTTTGGGACAGGGACAGAGGGTGGGCAGGAGAGGCTATGACAGTTGGGAAATTTTAAAGAGGGCTCTGCCACTCCTGCTCCAGAGGTTGCTCTGTGCTTAGGAAAAGCCTTTCCCACCCCTGGCAAGGGTCTAGGTGAAATAAGAAGTGAGAGTTTACCCAAAGTAAGTGGGCTTGATAGTGTAGCTTGTGAGCCGGTG